TCATAATAGCCAAAAGGTAGAAACAATCCAAATGTCCATTAACAGGTGAATCAATAAATAGAATGTAGGTGGGGCTCTGTGGCTCATGCCTGTAATCCCAGCACTTTGAAAGGCCAAGGTGGACGGATCACGAGGTCAGGAGTTTGAGACTAGCCCGGTCAATATGGTGAAACCCTATCTCTACCAAAAATACAAAAATTATTCGTGGCATGGTGGCACATGCCTGTAGCTACTTGGAAGGCTAAGGCAGGAGAATTGCTTGAACCCGGGAGGCAGAGGTTGCAGTGAGCTGACATCTCACCACTGCACTCCAGCCTGGCGACAGAGCGAGATTCTGTCTCAAATAAATAAATAAATAAACAGAATGGGATATATCCATATAATGGAATCTTATTAAGCCATGGAAAAGGACCAAGTACTGATACATGGTACAGCATGGATAAACATTATGCTAAATGAAAGAAGCCAGACACAAAAGGACACATATTGTCTAACTCCCTTTATATAAAATGTCCAGAATAGGCAAATCCAGAGACGAAAAGCAGATTAGTGGTTGCCAGGGCCTGCAGGGGAGGGGCAAATTGAGAGTGAGTGCTTAATGGGTTCAGGGTTTCCTTTTGGGATGATGAAAATGATCTGGAATTAGATAATGGTTATAGTTGCACAACATTATGAATATGCTAAATACCACCGAATTGTAGACTTTAAAATGGTTAAAATGGTAAATTTTATGTTACATGAAAGTTCCCAGTACAAATAAAATGGTGCTTGGCACTCCTAGGGCAGTAACAGTCATTTAAGTGAGATTTATGATGAGTTTTCCCTAACACGGAAAACAGTTATGCTATGATGTTAAGTGAGAAAAGCAGGGTACCCAGTTTTCCTTATAATATGATCTCAGCCTCACAAAAATAAGCAAAGCCTGTGTACAGAAGAAAAACTGAGGAAATATATCAAAATGTTAATGGTGATTATCTCTGGGTGGTGGGACTCTCTGGCTGGCTTTGTTTTCATCTTTTTACTTTCTAATAGTTTTCAGTTTTTTCTTTAAGAAAACATGTACAGTATCACTTTTATAGTGGAAAAGAAAACACCTCTTAAAAAAAGTTAAGGAAGACAATAAATGACATTTAAAGTAAAAGGAAACAGTGGATAGAGGCGAAGAGACACAGAGGAGCCAAATCAAGAGAGAACACGCTTCAGGGGAGCAATCATGCCATTTGGACTTGAAGATTGCCAGGGAACAGATGGCAGCATCTAAGCAGACATCTGCAGTGGATACCGAAATCATATGCAAAGACACAAGTGGCCTTTGAAGCAGGCCCTTGAGAGGCCCGGCAGAGAATGCTGCTTGCCTGGCCAAACAGAAGGGCAAAGCCCCTCTCTGCCTTGTCACAGTCTGGCCTCCTCAAAGCCCTGCTGGAGGCCCAGAGGCTGCAGTAGGGCTCAACTCTGATGGTCTTGCACGTGTGAGGGTGCAAAAGAGATCATGGAGGAAGGAAGAGGCTTCTGAGAGTGACCTTGGCAAACATCACAACTGACATTTACATGGGGTTTCACGGTTTATAAACATTCTCACACATATAACCTAAATGTTGGTTATGATTGCATCATCTTTAATCATGGCCCTGTAAAGTAGGCAGTTCTTATTTCCATCTTACCATGGAAGAACAAGGCACAGAGAAGTGATATGAGCTATTTATTTAACTTTTATATCGTGCTCTCTATGTGCCAGACACTGCTGAGAGCTTTCACAGGCACGTACTGCCTATGTTCACACAGCTAGTAAGGGCAGAACTGGGACTCAAATTTGACTTTTTAGACTGCACTATACCCCCCTTCTGCATATGTCTAAGCAGAATTTACCTATATTTGCAGAATGTTAAGGCCCCAGTGATTCTATCTATCTATCTATCTATCTATCTATCTATCTATCTATCTATATATCATCTATCTATCTATCCATCCATCCATCTGCCTACCTGTCTATTCATTCAACCATCTCTCCAGCCATTCCTTCATTTATCCATCCATCCATTCATTTATCTTTATTTTGCTGATTATAAGTGTAATACATGATTGTGTAAAACATGCAAGCATACTGAAATAAGTAACAAAGAAAGTAACAAATCTTCCTAAATCTCACACCTAAAGCTAATAATTCTTAATTGTTTAATACGTGTTCTTCCAGACTATTTTCTATGGGCATACTACCTACATATTTTTCTTTTACTTTTTAATAGAATAGTACTGCACCTGCAGTTAATGTAAGTCCCATTTCACACAATAGTAAGCCTTAAAAATCTCTCCATGACTATAGAGGCCTATCTTGTTTGTTTTACCATTCCATTGTATAGAGGTAGCAATTTTCCTAAATAGTCCCTTATTGATAGATATACAGGTTTTTCAATTGTTCCTTATTATAAACAATGCTGCGATAAATATCATTGTACTCTCATCTTTGTCTATTTGTATATCTGTCTAAAATGAATTGATAGAAGTGAAATTGCTGGGTGAAAAGTATGCACACGATTATATACAATTAAGAGTGTCATAGATAATGGCAAATTGCCCTTCAGAAAAATACTATTAATTGGCACTCCCACTAGCAGTGTGTAAGAGTGACTCATTTCCCCACAAGCTTGCCAACACCGGATATTCTGCCTTCTAAAATTTTATCAACCAAGTAGGCAAAAATGGCGTCTCCTTATTGTTTTAATTTGTGCTTAAAAATAGTAAGGTGGCATCTTTTTATATTATTGGCATTTATATTTCTGCTTTTGTAAATTGCTCATTCTCATCTTTTGGCAACTGGTTTTAACTTAGTATACTGCAGGCTGGGCATGGTGTCTCACACTTGTAATCCCAGCACTTTGGGAGACCGAGGTGGGAGGATTTTTGAGCCCAGGAGTTCGAGACCACACCAGCCTAGGCAACATAGTGAGTTCCCATTTCTAAAAGAATTTAAAATGTTTCCAGGCGTGGTGGCATGCACTTGTGGTTCTAGCTAACTGGAAGGCTGAGGTGGGAGGATTGCTTGAACCTGGGAGGTCAAGGCTGCAGTGACCCATGTTCATGCCACTGTACTCCAGCCTGGGCAACAGAATGAGACCCCCTCTGAAAACAAACAATCAAAAACTAAATTAGTATACTGCAGAGAGGAGAGTGCCTTGCAAACCATATGAGATTATGCTATATTCTCTTTTAAGGTACAAGTAAGCCCTGGAGATTTATGCTCACCATAAAACCAGTTCTATTACTGGTTTTACTATTTTAAAAAAAATGTATTTGACATCATTTTGGAGGGCCGAGCAGAAAACAGTTAACGAACAATTGAGACTTGAGTTTCATATTACTTATTGTCTTGTGGGATCAACTCTTGATTTATTAGCCACACAAAAGATGATAAAGTAATATAATCGCATAAGCCAGGGACAGAAATAAGCATTTGCTCATTCATCAATGGACAGTTCAGAAATAACTCCCTGGCAGGTGTATAGTATGAACTCCTGCACATGGGAGTGTGTGATGCAGGTGGAATGTATGTGAGTGTGTGGGGGGGCAGGCATATGCATGTGTTTGTTTGCTTTTGGAGAATGTCCCCTAGAGGATCGGAGGGAGCGAATACTATATGGTCAGAGAATATCTGCAAGCTTTCATTTGGAGGCATCTCCCAGAAGCAGGGAAGTATTTACTTTTTGCTAGCCTCTGTAGTGTTCTGTTATGGCTGTCACTGTTTTAGAATGGTGGTCCCAACATTACAACTCCAATTCAGGGAGTGGTTACAATTCCAATCTGCCACAAAGCTCTGTATCTCTGGCTTAGGCTGTGCTGGCAATAAAATTAGGTTGATAATTAGATAATCCTCAGATATTTTCCTAGTAGCCTGGAGGTGTAAGGTCTGTGGTGGTGATAGGATCATCACTCATCTATAGCTTCCTATGAGACAAAGGGCATATCCAATGTAAAGTTTCATAGATACTGCCAAATTACTTACCAAAAGACTGTACCTAATGGACATGTCCTTCAGCAGTGTTTGACAAGGCTTTGCATACATCATCTCACTTAATCTTCAAATAATCTTGTAAGGTCATTAGGGAGAAGCTATTGTCTGGCATAGACTATAATATGAATGGTGGTCCTTAGAGTTGGGCGAGCATACAACACCGGCCCCAAATCTCCATTTCACTGAAGCAGACCTTGAGTTATCAGGAGGTTGAGTTACTTGCTCAGAGTTCCACAGCTGATGAGTGTCAGGGCGTGGATTTCAACCCAGGCTGTCTGACTCCAGAGCCAATGGTAACTGGGGTCTATGGCCTTCTAGAGCACGTTAAAACCACTGCAGCACCCTTGGTGAGGAGACAGAAGGGGGCATCAGGATGCACTCAGGGCAGTGCCATGTTTTCCATTCCCAAGTACAAACAAATCCCAGCGTTTCAGTATTGTCCAGCTGGTCATTCTTCAGGTCTTTGTCAGTGCTTTTCAGTGAGAAGCAGTCCCCAGAGACAGAATAAATCAGATCATTTGGCTCAGGGAAAGGCATTGGAGAAACAAATTGCTATTGCACCATGAATATAATAAGGCAGTTAGGTGGGCGGAAATAGTTCTCTTTTGATTATATGAGTGAGGATTATGTGTAGCAAATTTGAATTCCAAGCTGCCTTTTCCTTGGCCTCTTCCCCACCCCTTCACTAGCCACACACTTCTTACTGCCTCTCCAAGCTGTACAGCTGGTGTGCGCTCTGGGAACTCTAATCTAACTTTTCGTATTAGTCCAGGCAAAATATAATTAGGAAGAAACTCTTCTGCCAAAACAAAAATCACATGCTAATGTCAAATAGAGATGATTTTTGTACATCTACTATTTTTGCTTATTTGCACCAGTATTGACTCATAATTATATTGTATAATCCGGATTTGACTATACTGCCAAATATAATAAAACAATTTTAACAGAAATTTCATTTGTTTTCTCTTTCCCCTCCCCCAAATTTGGACAGATACACTTTCACTAAAAGGAAAAAAAGCTGGATTTTTTGGGAAGAGGTGACACATATGTAAGCCTGATAGACACCATTCCTGAACTCAGCCGATTCACAGCATGCATTGATCTGGTATTCATGGATGACAACTCAAGCTATTGGATGGCCTTCTCCTATATTACTAAAAAAACCCTCCTGGGCAGAGAAGACATAGATCTTGGACTTGCAGGAGACCATCAGCAGCTAATACTGTACAAACTGGGAAAGACCTTTTACATCCGTCACCCCCTGGCTTCATTTCAATGGCATACAATATGCTTGATATGGGATGGTGTGAAAGGCAAATTAGAACTCTTCCTGAATAAAGAAAGGATACTGGTAGTGATGGATCAACCACACAACCTGACACCTCATGGGACTCTGTTTCTAGGGCACTTTCTCAGGAATGGGAGCAGCGAGGTTAAAAGCGTGATGCCCAGCTTTCCGGGAAGCTTGTACTACTTTCAACTCTGGGACCACATCCTGGAAAATGAAGAGTTTATGAAGTGTTTAGATGGAAATGTAGTTAGCTGGGAAGAAGACGTTTGGCTTGTCAACAAGATCATCCCAACTGTTGACAGGACACTGCGCTGCTGTGAGTAACTTACGAACTTTTTTCCTTGGCAAGGGTAGTGTTGATGTGGTACTCCTCTGCTCCCAGTGACCCTAGGTTGCTAGTTTTGTCATCATTTTTTAATGTGGAGCACATATTGTTTTCTTTTACCTTTATTTTGATATGATTTCAAACTTATAGAAAGATTGGAATAGAAGAACTTATATACTCTTTACCCAGATTCACAAATGTTTAACACTTTCCCATATGACTTATTCTATCTATATAAATTTCTCTCCTTTCTCCCCTCCTTACACACACACACACACACACACACACACACACACACCACTTATTTGTTTCTAAGTCATTTGAGAGTAAGTTTAGGGCATAATTCTTTGTTACCTCTAACTATCTCAGTGTTTAGTTCCTGAGAATAAGGAATTTTCTTACTTTACCATGCTATAATGATCAAAATCCGAAAATTTAATGTTGATACAATACTAATATCTAATTCACAGTTCACATTCATATTTAACTTAAAATTGTAATGACTCCAATTCTCCTAGTAATTTCCGTTATAACTCTTTGTTGCTTGGCTCAGGATCCATCTCAGGATCACACATTATATTTCCTTGTCGTGTCTCTTTAGACTAATATGGAATAGATTCTCAGTCTTTCCTTGTCTTTCATGACCTAGACATTTTCAGCATACAGTCCATTTATTTTGTCTCTCGATTTATATTTGTCTAATATTTCCTCATAATTAGATTAAGGCTATGAATTTTTGGTAAGAATACCACAGAAATGGTGTCATATTTTTCTCAGTGCATCGCATCAGTAGACACCTGGTAACAATTTGTCTCATTACTCATAATCATAAGTTTGATCAGTTGATTTTGGTGACGTCTGTCATATTTCTCCACTGTAGTTATGATTTTTTCCGTTGTAATTGTTGGGTAATTTCTGGGGAGATATTTGGAGGTTATGTAAATATCCTTTTTTTACCATGCTTTCACCCAATAGGTTTTACATCTTTTCATGTTTCTTGCCTGATTCAGGAATCACTGTGATGTTTGCAAAATAATGATTTTTAAAATTCCATTTTTTTTACATTTATTAGTTGGCATTCTATTGTAAGAAAGAGCTTTTTCTTCTTCCATATTTATGTGTTTACTTATTTAAGACATGGGTTCTGACTCTGTTGCCAAAGCCAGAGTGAAGTGGCATGATCATAGCTCACTGTAACCTCTAACTTCTGGGCTCAAGTGGTTTTCCTGCCTCAGCTTCCTAAAATTCTGGAATAACAGGTGTAAGCCACCATGCCCAACCTTATTTATGTGTTTATTTATTTCAACATGAACTCCTGGATTCTCATTTTATTCAATGGGTTACAGTCTGTTACTCTCATTTATTTCGATGTTGGCCCAGGGTTGATCAGTAAGAGTACTTCAATCTGGCTCCTGTGTCCTTTTGACAGGTTCCCCATCATTTTGGAGCATTTTCTTATTCTCTGGCACAACAAGATGTTCCAGGCTCTTCTTGTACTTTTTCTGCTCAGCCCAAGGAGCAGTCATTTTACTAAGGCGTCCCCGTTCCTTTTAGTGGGGAATGGTAGTTATAGACCAATTCATTTTTTCTTGTGAGAGCAATTGTAACATTGGAGAACTGTTCGGAATGGAGTTCTTGTAAGGAAACTGGCTTCTTGGAACTGCACCTGTATTTCTCTCCTCTCTAGTTTTGAGGAGGAAGGATAACATTGATTTTCTCTGCATAATCCCACTTTGCTCTCAAATTCAATCCTCTCCGCTATCAGCAGCAGCAGTCTTTAGTACGGGTAGTCAGTGATAATAGCATCAAGACAAGATTTTTTCACATTTCCCGAAATACTTATTCTTGGAGAAGTATTATTGACTGTTCTTACAGGTTTTTTCTTTCCAGGAGGAAGCTTTTAGGAAAGGAACCAGGGCTAGTTCCATGCCTAAAAGGACTCTCTTAGACTAAGGGGATATGTTTTCACCAACAGTCTGGATGCTGTTTGAGTTAACGGCAAAGGGATATTCCAGGATATTTCTGTTTCTCTGAGATGAGACCAATGCAAAGGAACAGGAAAGCTATTCCTTTGTGCTACTACTCAAAGGTATTTGGGTTTTCTCCTTTCTGAGAACTTAAAAATAAAAGAATATTTCTAGCTGGCTCTGATTACAAAAATGAGCTAGAGACTGGTAGATTAAGCCTAAACAGCTCACCCAAAGCAGTTTCTGGTAACTTTGTCTTTGATCTAAGGAACCAGAAGTATGGCCTTATTATATCCATGTGCTCAGCAGTGGTCTTTGAAAACCTAATCTGGCCAGCTAATGGCCATGCGTTTTCCTGCCACTCTATGGGTAGTTAAATCTAACTGCTGTGTTAAAGTACTAGACAATCCTCTTTTATTTTGCTCTTTTATACACTTTTTTTTTCTTTTCCGAGACAGAGTCTCACTGCAAGACCCAGGCTGGAGTGCAATGGCGCCATCTCGGCTCACTGCAACTTTTGCTTCCCGGGTTCAAGTGATTCTCCTACTTCAGCCTCCCAAGTGGCTGGGACTACAGACATGTGCCACCACGCCCGGTTACGTTTTGTATTTTTAGTGGAGACAGGGTTTCACTACATTGGCCAGGCTGATCTTGAACTTCTGACCTCAAGTGATCTGCCTACCTCACCCTCCCAGAGTGTTGAGATTACAGGTGGAGCCACTGCACCTGACCTCTTTCATACACTTTTTAATGGACAACAATCCTCTGGGTCTGATTGAATCCTGGTGGTCATAATGCACAATCTAACAAAACAAACAAATTATCACCTCAAATGACAAACAAAAAAAGGGAATAAATGTTCTTTCTACTATTCAGATCTCTTAAAGTGTTCTTCTCAAATCTTAGACCAGGAGTTCCTAATCTGAGGGCCAGAATGGACTTGAAAGAATGGACAAAGCCACTGAAATTACAACACCCTAAAAATACAGGGCAGATATTTTTTTTCTGAGGGTGCAGTCTATAGTTTCCATCACATGTTAAGGTATTATGGTAATTGGTGCCTTTTACTAAGTTTTTATTGTGTGCCAGGCATTTTATAGAAAAGAAATAGGGGCTCACAGAGATTGGGTAAATGCCTAATGTCACCAATCAAATAAATAGTGAAGCTGGGGTTTGAACAGATTGGTCTGGTTGCAAAGCCCATGTTTTTCACCTTATACCATACAGGACTGTCTCAAATGAGTCTGTGACCCCCAAAGTGTTATGTGATATTACTATGTCTTAGAAGCTTCTTTTGATGGTAATTGCTGGTCTAATAATTTACCTGGGGAAATTAGGCTACTAGCTGCAGTCACTGCCTGCCTCACCACTGAAGGATCTGTAAAATACCATAGTTATTTCTCCTACTTTGATTTTGGCTGTATGACATCTGGGACACAGGGGGCAATATATGAATAAATATGAGTGATTACAACATCTCTAGCTTCAGCTTTTGCCTAACAAATTGATATTTATCGTCCATAGAAGGATTATGACCTTTAAAAAATAAATTTTAATGAGCACATTGCTAGGTTACAAATCTCGATAAATCTATTTGCACATAAATTATATCTATATCTATATCTATCTATCTATATCTATATCTATATCTATTCATGAGAACAAGGCTTTTGGGGAACATTGACTGAAAAACATGAGCCCTACCTGGATTTAATAAACGAGTATTCACTGTAGTTGGAGATGTCTTGGAATATTAAACAACATGGTGATAAATAATAACAGTAAAATTTCTAGTCATTAGAAATTTAGTTTTGAAGTAGTTTTTAAGCATCTTTTCCTTATTTTTAAAAAGCACAAATGCAATACATGTGTTTGTGAATAAAAAAATTTAAACAATACAAAAGCGTATGAAATATGAAGTAGCGCCTACCCTTCACTATCCTCTTCACAGAGGTGTCTATTTAAAAAATTTTTTCCATGGCTTTATAATAAGTGTGTGCATATATATGCATGAGTGTGTACACTTCAAAAAAACAAAAATAATATATACATATATGTTGTTCTGGAACTTGATTTATTTTAACTCAATACTATCATGGACAGACACATAAGTACATTTAGATCTGTTTTAGGCTACATATATTCCATGTAACATAATTTACGTGTAACATAATTTGTTTGACTAACCCATCATTGATGGGCATTTAAGTTGCTTTCAATATTTTGCAATTACAAATAATGCTATAGTAAATTCCTCATACATACATCTCGGTACACTTAGGTTTGCAGTTTTATACAACACGTTCCTAAGTGTAGAATTTCTCAGTAAAAGCCTACAAGCTGTTACAGTTTAAATAGATTTATCATTTTTACTAGTTATTTTATTAATGTAACTATTCATTAAAAGTTGATCTCTTAAAGTAAAATTACCAGATATATACACTAAAAGATTTTAAAATACACAAAAGTATAAATGTAAAGTCTCAATCTTTTCACTTCAATCGTTTACCCTAAGTTTCTCTCCCCAAAAGTAATGATTGTTAATAATTTCTTATATATCCTTGCGGAAAAAATGTAAAACTTGAATTTACATGTAATTTTTTTCTCTTTTCACAGCTGGGTTCATCATTATATGCATTCTTTTCTGCTTCTATTTAAAATTTAATATTTTTGGAGGTATTTTCATATCAGAAAATATAAATCTATCTGGTTCTTTTTGGGGGAGGCTGCTGAATAGTATGAAAGAAAAGGGGTATGCTACAATTTATTCGACAAGCTCTGTTTGAAGGACTTTTAAGTTGTTTCTAGTTTCTAGCTATGACAAAAGTCTACAGGGTTTTTAAAAGTAATAAGTGGTGACAGAAATATCTTGAAGCAACCATAAAGATCTTATCACAAGCTAAAGTTCCTCTCAAGGTATGGTGAGCATAATTTCTTAATCTCAACTCAGACACAAGATCAAGCAAAGGATTTTTTTTTGACCTCTGAATGTATGAAGAGGAAGAGTCTTCCAAATACATGCAG